AGACCTAGACATCCTCTCTCCTACACGCACCAAAACAGGCGAAAAGAGGCGGTGAGAGGCGAGGACAAACGCTCTTCTCGCCCGTGTCCAAGAGGCAACAAAAATTCGCTGAGTGAGGACGACGAACGTAACTGAGCTTTATCCAACCACACAGCAACCGTCAGAACAAAATGCTGGGCTGAGGGAAGCTAGAAAAAGGGGAAATTGTGCAAACTCTTTCTTAATAGTGTCAATGGGCACGTTTACGTGACAGTTTAGAAGGCAACTGCTTATTTGAGATGGTCCACAATCGGATTTGGGGACTCGATCGGGTAGTTTTAGGTGACAAAAAAGATGAATTTGGAACAGGGGGCACATACACTGCAAATTAGCGATGCGACGACGTTTCGCGATGTCGAAGGAACTATTTCGACTAGCGATTATAGAGGATATTTTCGTTCAAAGCATTTTTAACTGAACTAAAGGTAAAGATAACTTGTACGACTACTGAAACAGGATACGGGAGCAGGAACCGCTCAAATACATGCTCCTGGAAAAATCAGGTCGAGGATTAAGGTCAGAGCTGGGGTTAGGGTCAGAGTTATGTTAGGGGTTACGGCTGGGATTCGTGTTAACTGTGGGGTTTAGGTCTAGCGTAGAGCTAGGGTTAAGATTAAGGTGACAGTTTTCGTTTAGTGTCAGGGTTATTTTTCGGGTTAAGCCACAGGAATATTTATTGCAAGGCCAGCTCTTTTAAGTGGGCGGGATGTTCCTATTCCCATGTCCCGTTTAGGCAGCCACAGAAGTCATCCTTACCGAAATAAAAAGAAGTAAAAATCCTCGGTTGGCAGAGCATCAAGCACTAATAAGTCAATAAAATCTTCGTGGCAAGAACTATGCCAGGACAAGCGAGTCCCAGGAAGTAATTGACAAGATTCGACCGCTGGGACAACACTTTTATTCTTTTTTTTTTACCTTGACGAGGCCATAGAGACGAGCCAAGTCCGTTTCTTGTGCTCCCTCCATGCATCGGTCAGACGGCGATCGAATCTTCTTCTCAACTATGCCTGGCTCTATGAATATGTGGAGTCTCACCCCATGAAAGGATATCTTTCGGCATCATGATGCCATCAGGTTCTGGCCTTAGAAAACAA